TGAATCCGGAACGGAAGCGTCGCGCTGCTGGTCAGACAGGCGTCCTGTGGCCTTCAAGCCCCGCGCGCCATCCAAGCGTGTGTGCAGCGGGCCAGGGCGCCGCACGAAGTCCTTAGGCACCCCAGGCGACCCCTTCCCCGTGTGGCCCGTTGGCGATCGCCAGTGTGCCCATGCGGTCCAGCGACAACGGAACGGTGCACGACCAGCCGCACGGAGACCAGTCCAGCAGAAAACAAGGTCCATCTACGTGGAGGTCCCGCCCGAGCACACTCGGCTCGCATTTATGGGTCGCAAAATGCCGCGACTTCCTGCGGAAGCGTCGAGGTCGGCGCGCGTTGCTCGCTCTCGGTAGGACCGACTTGGACTTCCGAACTTTGCCGACGGTAATGAGCGCTTGGCGAAGTGCGGTGGCTTTGTCGCTGGTGCCTCAGCCGCTTCTCACACTTGCGTCGAGTCCGACCAGGTGCAACCGAACGTTTGCCTCGTCGCGCGACTGACCGAGCGACAGCGAAGCGGGTCGCCGTCGCTTGTCTCGTCGCTCGCCGAATCGCTTACATGCGGTTTCTATTTTACGTACACGCGAGATGCGACGTAATTCAAAAGATGCGCCAGCGGTTGGAACACGGAAGACATTGCGCTCGGAGCCGCATGATGGCGCTACGAGCCCAATGTGCGGCTGGAAAAGCGCTTTTGGCTTTTCTGCGTGCTGCGCTCCAGAGTGGTGCGCTCTGCTCTCCCGGCACTCGCCACCCGCGGCGGCTAGGGAAAGTTGGTGGGTTTCTAGTACCTTCGACGGGGGAAAACGTGGCCGGCCGAGGAACCGAGTCGAACGCGAGCTCTGCCGCTTCTGGGCGACCGCGCACCCTTTAGCGGTGTTCTCGCGCGAGAAAGTCGCAGCGAGGGAAAAAAAAAAAAAAGAAATAAAAAGGGTATATACTAATATTCTCTTTTTCTTTCGCTGGGTTACTGTGACAGCTGCTCTCCACGCGGATCATTACTTCCCTGTTCCGTTCTACACGCTATTACGTCGGAACGGAGTCGTGCCGACCTCGTGACACTGCGTCCAAGTTATAATTGCCCCGCGGGGTGCCAGATATGATATTTTACAATAGACGCGTAATAAAAGAAATTCCCGCGTCTCGTGCGGTCTACTTTTAGACGCCGTTACGGGAGGCCCGGATCTCACCGTGCGAAGACAGGCTAATCAGATAGCGTTCGTGGTATCCGCGGCTATTCTCGCCCGTTTTCGATAAAACTGGTACAGGACACACAAAAAACCGCAAACAAACACACACACACACAAAAAAGTATTTTTTTTTACTTTTTCTTTTATTTTTTACTTTCACTTTTTTTTTTTTTTTTTTTTTGTTACATTTGGACGACATGTGCGGAGTTCGAGCCCTGCCGACCGTTGCTTGGCTCACGGTGCGTGAAGCAGGATGAGGTCAAGCAGCGGCGGAGGTCCCTCGAAAGTTCGTGCTCCGAAGAAGCGGGCCAGGGTTTGTCTTACGTCGGAGGTTTCTAGCATGAGGAGCGTATCGAGTCGCGCGGTGGTGTCAAGGTCGGTCCGACGAGGAGCGTTAGATAACAAATCGTCGGACCAAGGTTGCAGCTCTACCCCGCAATGTGGAGCCGCCGGGGCGAGTACCACCCGTGAGAAGCACGTTCGTGGGGTGTAAAAATAATAATAATAATAAAAAAATAGAAAGGCACGAGTTACGTTTGTTCATTTCTGTCAGATGCAACTCAATGCTACAACGAAATGGTCGCGCGGACCATTTTTAGCGCGCTCTTCATACGAGTTTCGTGGCAGCGAAGAGAAGAAAAACGTGCCGTCGGCTGACGATTCCCGTCAAAGAGCGATTCGAGGCGAGTGACTGGATCAAGGTCGAATAGAGCGTCGCTTGTAACTGTCGTCCTCGTAGGTTTCTCGTTTCCTGATTTATTGTGCGATCGAATCATCGGGGGTGTCAAAGGAACTCCCGAGCCCGCGGCCCCGTCGTCTCCTGGGGGCCTCCTGGCGGGCCCGGGACGGCCTGACAGCGGAAGCGGGTGGTCGGAGGTCTTCGGGGGGCCATGGGAGGGCGGCAGCAGTGGGTCCGCGGGCAGCGGTGGCCGGCAGAGCGGACTCCGGGCCTGGCCTTGGGTGCCGAGCCCCTTTTAGCCCGGCGCGTGGAGCGCTGGCCCGGTCCCAGCAGCGCTGTCTCCGGGGCCCAGCCGGGCGTCACGTGGAAGCGTGTGGCGTGCGCGGGGGGTCTTCCCAGGCAGGATCGATGTGGGGGCTTCCCTGGCAGCTTCCGTAGCGCGTAATCGAGTCTCGAGTCGTCGCTGGTCCGCTCGGAAGCACCTTCGGAAGGCGCACGTTCTCCGGAATGTTAGGGAAAGTTGAACGAAAGGAAAAGAAAAAAAAAAAAAAGCTACTGGCTACTTTGCGAGCCAAGTCACCACGCGCTGAGGCCTCCTCGCCTGAGCCAGAAAAGCAGAAGCAAAAAAGCGCGAAGGAAAGGGCTGGAGAGCGGTGCCGCCTCTCCCCGTGGCGTCATAATGACGTCAGCGGAGGACGCGTACGGGTCCAATGGCGGAGCGCCCAAGTGACGACAGAGCGGCGGCGCACGGCGGCCGACGTGCGCGACGCGAAAGAGTGCCGTCCGCTATAAAGGCGCCGCGTGGCCCGATTGCCGGGAGCAGTTGCAAGCGGCTGGAGCGCAATATTCCAGCCTCAGTGATCGATAGACGAGCGGCGTGCGCTGGGACTTTGTGCGCGCGGCAAATTCGAGGACTTTGGAGTGGTTGGATGTGCTTTGAGTGATCGGTGGGCCGCGACACGAGCATCGACAGCGCCGGAGAGCCAGTGTGTGCTGTGGTCACAGGCCAGCGCCCCCCCGGTCACGACGGCTTCTCCGCTGCGGAAAAGCTTTGACTTTGAGCACTGCGTGCAGCTGTCGCCATGTTACGCGTCGTCCGGCATGGACTCGCCGCACCTGTATGAGTCGGCGAGCAGCGAGGACCTGAAGCAGCCCCGCCAGGCGCCCCCCCTGCTGCTGAGCTCTGCGCAGAGCACCCGCCCACCGCTGGGCGCCTTCGACTTGGGCTCGGACGGCTGCGTGCCGGACCTGGCCGAACTGAACACGCCCGAGCTGTCGTTCGACCTGCAGGGCTTCATCGCGGACTCGTCCTCCTCCGCGCACTCGTCGAGCAGCCTCGAGGAAACGCTGTTCACGGACCTGCTGACCGAGCAGCAGAAACGCTACGGTGGCCACCCCTTCCCTATGCCCCACCAGGGCGGGCCCCTGAACCACGCGGAACACCGGTACGGCTCTGAGGCCGGCCTCGGCATCAAGCAAGAACCACTGGATCAGGCGGAGTACTCGAGCTGCCGCGAGCAGCAGTCGCCCTACGCCCGGGGCCTGCTCGCCTTCCCTGGCCTGCACGGCGCGCCGCAGGGGCCCCAGGCCACGGCGACGCTGCGCCCGGTGCCGGTCTTCTCGGCGGGGCAGCCCCATGGGCTCGCTCCCCAGGGCCCGCTCTCGCTGGCCGCCCTGCCGCCCCCGCACGCCAACGGAGGGGGACCTCTGGGCCACCACAACGGGCTCAGGCCACTCGGCGGTCAGGGGCCCGCGGCCCCGCAAGGCCCCAAGCCGCCGCACGGCCAGCACAAGGCATCCGGAAAGAAGCTGCTCGACAAGGGATCGGACGAGTATCGACGCCGGCGCGAGCGAAACAACATCGCGGTGCGCAAGTCGCGCGAGAAGGCCAAGCAGCGGTCACGCGACACCGAGCGCAAGGTGTCCGAGCTGAACCGCGAGAACGACTCTCTGCGCAAGAAGGTGGAGCTGCTCACCAAGGAGCTCGCCGTGCTCAAGTCCCTGCTCACCAATGTCGGCGTGCCGCCGGAGAACGTGGACAACGAGGTGGCCCGCTCGCTGCAGGGCTACTAGGTCGCGCCCCGCGGCCGCCTCTAGTCATCTGTACAAATGGCCCCGCTGCGCGGACTGCGCGGCCTGCCCGGCCGCTCGCGCGGGGCCCGGACGCTCGCTCCTTTCTAAGCTCATTCATCGGCGCCCGGGCCGCCCCCTTCGTTCATTGCCCGAGCGCGCCTCATTTGTTGCCGGACCTGTTGCGACCGTGTTGTTGATTGTTCGTTTTCCGGGACACCCTGTGTGGTCTTACGTTGAGTGTTGCACCTTTTATTTTTTTAAGAAAAATATTAAAGTCCATTTTTTCGTTCATGAAACCCGCTTGCACCTCGCTCGTGCGCGGGACGTTGCGTCGGGACGTCCTGCCCGGCCCCCTCTGCCTCGGGGGGTCTGGCGGACGAGCCCGGCGCAGCCCCGGCACCCTTCCGGCACCCGACGGGGACGCGCTGCGGTTCCCCCGGAGCCTCTGACCGGGCCCCGGGCTCCGCTGCCGCGTCCTCGGCGACCGCCGTCTCGACCGCGTCGCGAGAGCTGTCGGCCGCGGGGCGCACGTGCGCCCTTCTTTCGAGGACCACGAGGTAACGGCGACTCCCGCGTTGCCCTGGCAACGGCGTCTGAGCCGTTGCTACGGCAACGCGGAAGCCCCGTGCTCCACTGGCTCGCTTTTTCGGAAACGTTGCGCAACCGGTGGGATACAGTGTGTCGGCGTATCAAGGACGCGCGCCTATTGTGAGCCGAACTGATCGACCCTTTTTCTGCTCTCGAGCCGCTCTTGATTTGCGCCGTCTTCTCCCCATTCAGCGATGCGGGCTCTGACCAGCCCGCATCGCTGCGAGAAAGGCTTCCCACTCTCGCTAGGAATAACTTTCCCGCGGGGCTGCTTTGAAAGCGCACGCGGTGCGGTCCAGCCGCCACGTATACCTTGAACCACACTTGCGGTCAGTTCAGGAGCAGAAAAAATTAGTCGGGCGCGAAAGTTCTAGGCGACGCGGAGATGGCCTAAAAGTCGTCCAAGGACGTCGCTGTAAACGAAACCCGTTCCCTCTTTTTCTCATCCTCCGTTCCGGGGAGGTATCGTGTTACGCGAGAGAACTGGGCGTAGCGTTAGAAGAGACGGAACCAAACGCAGCCGCCTGTTGGAGGGAAGTTGTTAGGCAACCGGGGCTGCGCCAGGCTTGCATACCACATGCCCAGATTCGCGCCGAACTTGGGCGACACGAGGTGTGCGGTTGAGTCTTTGGGGGGAATACCAGATCCCTGGCCTCGGCCGCTGGTCTCGTCTTTCCCCTGGGGCTCGTCCCGATTGTAGCACTGGTTCACACATCACTGACGTACAGACGTTTGTTTCGCCGGCTTTGTCGCGGAGTCTAGTTGCGCCGCGACACGAACTGTGCTACGGATGCACGCAATGCGGTGTTGTTAAAATAAGTCACCAAAATCGCCGGAAAAAAAAAAGAAAAAAGGTCACTTTATTTGGCAGAGAATCATCTCTCTCTCTCTCTCTCTCTCGTGCGCTCTCGTCCGTCTTCTCGCTATGTTGGTTAAAGTAATTAAACATGAGGAAGATACATACATACATGTTTAATTACCGTTACCAACACGCTCGCTTCGTACTTGATAGGTTAAAGACATTCTCGGCGTTTGATGGACGCTTTCCAGACTTATTGTATCTTGGTTCCTAGGGGAATAAGGCCGAGCAATAAGGTACTGCGGATTCGAAATGTTGGCGTTTGTAATGACTGCAGGCAGTTCAATAACATCTGGAGATGTTATTGAACTGGCCATACTCCAGCGGAAATAAGGACGGAGAGCGATAGGGTGAACGCCCAGCTTCTATAGAATGTTCGGTGGGTCACGCGGACATCCCTCTGTATACCCCGAGACGCGGACGCGGCAGTGTTGTGCACCTATCGCACTTGCACCGAGAGTAGTGACCGATCAAAGGCATGCAGCGTGACAACACTGTTGCGTCACAACCGTTTGCGTCACCCGCAGTGAAAGCCTCCTCTGCCCACCCTTCGCAGCGTCTTTCCTAACTGTTGTCGAAGGGCGGTTTACGTAACCACCGGAGAAGCGCTCCCATCCCGCGTTCTTTGACGGGGATCACTTCCGATTTTCCCAGGGGCGGCTTTAACTGTGAGCGTGAATAGACGAGAGCAAGCAGACGGAAGTGTGCCAGGTCTGCGCCAAGGACTAAGTCTCGCGAGATTTCAATGTCGGAAGAACTTAGCATAGTTTTCAGAGACCCGGATACCGACGAACTTGACCATCACCGTCTTGGAGTGGCGATCACAGGTGAGACGAATTTGACCACGCTTCGAGTTTGAAATCCTCAGCATTGTGTCCGTTGTTTTGCTCAAAGGGAACAAAGCATTTTTTTTTTTTTCGGTATAGACGAAGATTTTTGTTTTAATGAAATCCAGCGAGGGATTGTCATGGGCGATACCCGATCAAATGAGCACTTTATATACATGATCAATTACCACACAACGTGGAATAAGCTCGCTGTGGTTCGGATATTTACAGGCAACGCAATCTAGGAAATGCTCACGCATATCACATTTTATTTATATCGAATCACTCGAAACCACTTACACTACGAAAGCGTCTGAGTAGCTTTGGTATGGTGAAAAATATTCATCACTATTGTCGTCGGCACTTGACACAAATAAGCTAGAATGAAAAAAAACAAAAACAAGAAAAACATCAACAACAGAACTTGAATATTTTGCGCCCTATTAACCCCCCCCCCCCCCCACCCCCCCCCCCCTCAAAAAAAATCTTGAGGTAGTTTATTTATTTTGTTTATGCGGTTACGTACATCTCTTAGAGAACACTATTGTAGGGGAGTTGCAACACAAGCATATGCTAGAGAATAAATGAACAATAGACAATTCAAAAAATAACAACAATGTTTCAGACGCCTAGAAATAACAAGCGTCGTGAAAACCTGTAAAGGACCTGTTCGGCGGTTTATTGACAATTATGTTGTTCAAACAATTCCATTCATAAATAGTAAAAAAATAAATAAATACAGGGGGCGGAAACATATGTGCTCTTTGAAAAAAAAGATTTTAGCGATCGCTTCTTTGTTTAAATATAACACGTAGAACCTTCGTACGAATATTTTTGTTTATGACGCTGGGTGGAGCATTACAGATAGTGTAAAATAATACAAAAAAAACCGATATTTAACCGTAAAAATGTTGATTTGTTTTTAAATGAGTTTCCATACGAAAAAGGCTTTCAGTGTTTGTAACGCGAAAACCAAAAATCAATGTTGCTTATAAAAACAAAACAAAAAACAGCACGTTACGGAAACGTTCCGGTTTTTTAAATTTAAATTATGATGGAAGTATGCCAACAATAGCAATAAATAACTCAGCGGTATAGCCGATACAGTACGCGACACTGTTAACGCGAGCATATTAGGCAATTTTCTGCATTTTACTCCGAGTAACGACGACCACCGAATTTTAAGTTTTAAGTTCCTACCCTGAATAAAGACTTTCCGCCACGCTAGCTGTTTTCGTGGCAGCTGCTTCATCTTCAGAGAAAGAGAGAAAAAAAAAGGGAAAAAAAAAAAAAGAAAACAGAGAAATCTGGCGATCGTTTGTTCCGTTTGTTCGCGCTAACAGTGTCGCGCGCCGCTGTATACAACAGATGCGCAACCGCGTAGGAGACTTTCGCATTCGTCTCTGAACAGAGGGGAAACGACGTCCGACATGCACGGACGCAAGCTCACACGAGAGGGCACACTGCCAGGCTCCACTGGCTACGTGCTCCAGCGAATGTGGAAGTGAAGTGTGCGCACGAGATTACATCTGGAAGATAATCGAATGACACCCCCGCGGGGCCGCACAATGTAATCTCGGGTGACCAACGCGTGGGAAGGAAAATACTGCCTTTATCAGTCGCATTACATAAAACTCATCAAAAAATAACAACTGATTTGATCTCTGTGGAAAAAAAAAGAAAAAAGGTTTAGTCCTAACTTTATCGACAACCGTAGTTGTATCACCGTGCCTATCGTGCAACCGCGGTTGTGAAACGTGCCTCAAAAAGCGGGGACTGCACCTGGAAAAACTAAGCTTTATAATTATTTCTGTGTGTACTATCTACGGCCATCAACTCACACTGCGTTAAAAAGAAACCAAGGGAGAACTCGCATCTTCTGTGGAGGGGCGGTAACCGGTAGGGTACTAGACATATCGACGGGCACTCCCTCGGACGCTTCCGAAAAGTGGTGAGTCTACTTCCTGTAGAAATGAGTTCTTCCGAAACACATTTATATGAACGTATTAGTTGAACGCACTCAAGTATCGGACTATTTTGTAGAGATACAGGAGGTGGATGTTAGGTCTGTCCTCATCAGCTGTCGACCAGCTGCCATCACGCGCACACGCACATATTTATTTTTTTTTTAGTTCTAATTCTAAAAGTTTCGCACAAAGTAATTTAACGAACAAAATTGTGGTGCGACAAAAAAAAAAAAAAGAAAAAAAGAAAAAGAAAAACTACTTTTGAGATATTTATAAGTTTGATACGGCCAGTTAGTTTTTTGCCGATCGTTTTTCATTGTGAACTTTCTTTTCAAACATGATGCTCTTTCAAAAGGGGCAAAGTGACAATTTCCGTTCACATCACCATAAAGCGAGTGTGACCTCTCCCTCAGTGTCTAAATAAAGGTGGTCGATTCTTCATATTTTTTAGTTCCTTCGCGAATTAATTATGCAATCCACTCCCTTTCTTGTTTCAAAGAAAAATGTGTGTGTGTGTGGGAAAGGGGGGGGGGGGGGTACGTGCATACCATTAAAGTTTTGAAAAGTCACGCGGACGCCTACAATGAATCAATACGGGAATGCAAACCAACAATTAATTCGTTATTGGAAAATAATTTTTTTCTTTATTGTTATTGGAAAATAATACAATAGTCAGGAAATTAAAATAAGAAAAGAAAATCTATCCGGATTTTTGAGGCAGTTAATTTCACTCGAAGGAATTTATTTCACTCATACAGGCGTACCGTTATTTTGCGACATTGTCAACTGAAATATCTCATCAAGGTTACATTGTGGCACGTTATTATTTGTTGAAACGATTACATTAACTAGCGTCTATTAACCCGCTGGCGCCTTATCGCAACCTCTAGCTTTGTACCTGTTCCACGAGTGGTAACTTTAGTGCACTACTACGCTTCTCACGCGCTCAAAGTCTTTCTGAAAATGACTTATTTAGTGGTTTTCGATAACGCTGAGCAAGTTTCTAATTGGAACCATATGTCTATTTTTATTAATTAAAAAGTTAATTAACGAAT